TAATGAACAATAATTTGAAATAATTCAATTTTGTGTCAGGCTGGCCTCTACTAGGCCCCCATAACAAAACTCTGGCTACGCCAATGATCGTCACCGACTTCAACTCGAAGATGACTCGAGACTGAAGCTGACCAAAAAGCAACCAAATTTTACAAAGTTGTGCAAAGAAAATTGTGCACATTTGTCACATTAAAATTAAATAACCTTATGTTATTTTCATTATTATTAGAATTGTATTTTAAAGGTAATAAATGTAAAAAAAANATTTTATGCCCATTATTATTTTTCTGTATTTAAAATAAACTATATTTTACATACTTTAATAATAAATATAAATGGCGTATTAAAACTAATATTAGGCATGTACAATCTTCTTTCCTGATAAATAAATTTACAGAAAATTATCTGCAAGTTTATATAACTTTTTCTGATTATAAGAACTGCATATAAAATGTAAATATTTTTCGAAAGTTGTTTTAATGTTGCAGATTAATGCGAAATAAAAATATTTAATTTTAACAATAAATTAAACAAATGGCATAACTTTCCAAAGTATTAATTTTATTAGTAATAGAACTGCATATAAAATGTAAATATTTTTCGAAAGTTGTTTTAATGTTGCAGATTAATGCGAAATACTAATATTTAATTTTAACAATAAACATAATTGTAAAACTTTGTAAGTGATATCAATAGTAGTACAGAGTTAGTAATAAAACTCCATGGTGGCATATGGAGAAGAGAAGACATTTTGTGTCCTGCAATTCCATGAAACCAACAGGATGGAACCCCTCTGCACTTCTACTATCCAGTATGGGTGTACTTCAACCAAACCCTCCTGTAGAGATAGATCAGATGTGTTCAAAGGAGGATAGCAAGCTGATGGTATGGCCTCCTGCATTTCCTAAACTGAAACCCTGTAGTTTCTTTTTGTGTCACTATGCAAAAGATCATGTCTAGGTGCAACCATTACCAACCACTTTGAATTAACAATGGGATCACATTAACACTGCAATTGCCATCATTGAAATCAGAGATGCTGCATCATGTTTTTGGAGATGAATTAGAATATTGCACTGATATCTATCATATCATGCAAAAAAGTCACATACAGCATCTCTGTCTCAAAAAAAAAACCACTTTCAGAGTTTGTCTAGAAATATACTTTACATCGTATATTAGTACTAGCTGTTACCCGCGACTTCGTCCACGGAGGTTTTGCAAGCAAACCCCATTTACATTCAATATTTCAATAACCATAGTAGTCGTTAGGTCTATATAATGCCTACCACTGAAAAGAATTGCCAAGAATCAAACGAACTATTTTCAATTTGATCAATTTTCCAGAACATTTTCAATCGTTCTATAATCGAACCAATATGCAATAACAAATTCGAATTTAAAACGGTTTGAACATTTTTAAAATCGAAATAGATAAAAATATTTATAACAATGTCTGAAATGTTATCAGTTTAATACACCTAAGTACTCAATGAAGACTAAACGTAGTTGAAAACAAAAAAATCGCATCTAAAATAGTACAGTAGAAGCTGTTCTTCCGGTTAAGCCTTAATGCTCTCCCTAACCCCCCGCAGGGGAATTTCTAAAAATCCCTTCTTAGTGTGCATAGCCATGGCATACCCTACTAAAACGCAGATAAAAACAAAAAATCGCATCTAAAATAGTACAGTAGAAGCCGTTTTTCCAGTTAATCCTTAATGCTCTCCCTCTCCCCCCACTTGGGAATTTCGAAAAATCCCTTCTTAGTGTGCGTTTTCATGACGTACCCTAACTGTGTACCAAATTTCACCTCTCTAGGTCCAGCGGTTTGCTCTGGGCGATGATGAATCAGTGAGTGAATGAGTCATTCAGTCAGTCAGGACAAGCAATTTTATATATTTAGATTAGTTTGCAATAAACAGAATAATTTTTTGAAATCTGAAAATTTTTTGAATAACCTGTATAAAAAACTTGTTCATTAAAAACTAAACTGTAACTGAAAACTGTAATAGTTACTGGTATAACTGTAAAACTTCTCTAACTTGAAGCTCCAAGGGCAGGAAAAACTTTGAGTTACAGACAATTCAAGTTAAAGAACAATAGTGTAAAAAATGCTGATTCTGAATAGATTTGCATTTTTTCTCTCTTGCATTATATAAAGAATCTCTTATAGTTTGTTTTAAAACAGCCCATGTAACGCCTTTCAGCAAAATGTTCAATATAACTAATGTAATTGAACAGTTTTGAAGATGCATCTTGAGATAAAGCAAGACCTCTTGCTTTGAGCTGAAACATTGTCTGAAAATTGGTGTTGTAGAGTAGATACAACTAACTGTATGAAAATTTCATGAAAATCTGATAATTAGGATCACTTTGGATAGAATAAATATTAAAATTAGAGTCAGGAAAGTTGAAAGTAACAAAGTGGTGTCAGGGGACAATGAAAAACTTCAACTTGGAGAAAATTCGAGTTAAGAAATTCAAATTGTAGACATTAAATCCCTAAGCTATTTCATTGAGACCTACCAAGTGCTTTGTTTTCTTTGAGTTACAGATGTTTGAGTTTGAGCTAGAGAGTTATATATACAGTGATACCCCGAACTTACGCGATAGGTGGGACCGAGCGATAACCGCGTAAGTCAAATTCGCGTAAGTCGAGGTATAATTTCGCAATTTGTGTAAAACCCAAGTCGGATGTATGTAAGCTAATAAATGTTCTCGTTAATCTTATCTCGTCTTTTGATTCGTTCACGGTTACAAGAAATCACCACATAGAGTCTCTCAAATCTCCATAGATATAACAAACACAGAAATAAATAACAAAATAAATTGTGGCTATGTGTCGATTCCACGCGACACGTCCGAACACGTAAGCCGAACAATAGTGTGGGGGGATTGCTTGGTGCTCAAACAAAAGACGAATTGACGAGATTTGAAAATCATGTAACTCCAGGTTCGCGTAAGTCGGGGTAGCATAAGTCGAGGTATTACTGTATATAGTCAAACTCTTCACATCATCATAGCTATTTTCTTTAACAAAGCTTGTGCAAAATAATTGATCAATCCAATCAAAATTTTATGCACATAACTATATACAGTATTTCTGAATAACTTTGAGAAGTACTATTTTTCACTAATATTTCAATGTAATCATACAATTAATTAATGCAGAATAAGATCAATATGTATTTTTAAAATAATGGATAACTTATTGTAAATGCCTTTTCAAAATATTAGAAAACAATACCAATAGAACATTTGTATACAGGGTGTCAATACACCATAATTTTACTTACTCTCTCTCTTTTTTTTGTTTACAAGATTCAAACATCTAACAAAACAAAAACATCAAACAGATGGTCATGCCAATCAACAAATCATCTAAACATGGCAGTAAAACTTTAAAGATAATCATTGGTAAATAAAATTTCAACATGGAGTGTTAATGTCATAAATACCATAAATTTAAGAGATTTTATAGTATGATGAGATTTTCATTTTTTTTATGAAGCAACCTAAGACAAAAAATTGACAGAGTTAAAAATAATAAATTTTAGGTCACTTCTGACTGGTAGGCAACATTGTCACACTTCCACAATTGCCACATCTGTCTTAATATGTAAATTTTGGAATAAAAATTACTAGATCTGTACAGTAAAAAAATGCATGTGCACACATATATACACAAAAATGGCAATACAGTAGTAGTTTAAATGCCAAAAATTTTTGATCTCTTCAATAAATTATTTTCAGGACAATAGAAAAAATAATTTAAAATGAATGTTTGAATTGTTAATTGTAAATGGAACAAGAAAAATAAAAAAAAAAACAGTAATTACAAAAGATGAATTTCTNTTTGTAGATGATACACTATGAGTATCAGCAGTAAAACTTAAAATTTCATATATAACTTTTAATAATATATTAAAATAGGCAAATTTTCTCTTCTAATAATATTATATTTTCGATAATTGTTATATATAGAAAATCTATAATTATAATGATGCATTGAAAGAATAACACCAGAAACAATGACATAGTTTAGAATTTATCACAATACAGCGGGTGATCGGTTAACAGACATAATCCTTTCCAAGACTTTGTTCGTTATCCGAATTGTTCGTTAACTGATTATCGATTTACCATAGATTACAGTATTATGAGAATTTGATTAATTCGTTCCGGAGACTCCAAAAAATAAAAAAATAAATGCTTTTTTACTATATTTATTTATTTATATATAATATATATATATAAACATAATGGCAAAATAATTTAAATTAATTTTGAAATTAATTTAAAAAAGCTAATTCATAAGTAGATGTAAAAGCAATAGTTGATAGTGTTAAATGATGTGTTTAATAACAAGAAAGTAGTAAATTGTTTAAGTTAATTAAATTTAGAAATAAAATGTGCAATTAAATTGACCAAAGTTACTAGTAAATGATTTTCAAGTTGTAAAATAAATTTTTGTGTAATCTTTCCTGAACAGTAATTGGATAAATAAAAAATTTAGCATTACATTAAGTCTTTATCAAATAAGAAAGTTCATCTTTGGTTGAACACAGTTATTTTTAACATTTTCAATACTTAATGCTGTTTAAGCAATTTAGTCTCAAATTTCCAATTTTTTTTTTTATATTTCACTTCATAATTACATCACAATAAATTGCTAACAAGCATAAAACAAAAGTAGGAAAAAATATTTGAGAGAATACTTTCTAAATTGTAAGTGGATTAAGTGACACGTTTTAAAAAATTTCAGGAAACATGGGATACATAGTAATACAAGTAAATGCAATGTTCTTTTTTTATTTTAGAAAATTTCTGTAGAATATATATCAATGCAAGTTTCATACTCCTTCATACAATACTCAAAATATTTACAAATAAATTAAGTAAAAATTATCCAAATGTTCTAAATTTTTGCCAATACTGTATATCTAAATCAAAATTAAGTTTAAGTTGATTAAACATTGAAAGCATTATTAAATACTTACACAAATTTGGATTTCTCTTCGACTAACATTCAGATCATGTTCATTATTTACAAACATTCTTTTCAAAGCATAATTCTGTCCATTATTTGACTTAACAAGAAACACAAGAGCAAAACCACCTGCAAATACATTTTTAAAATAAATTTCAGCTATTAGTTTAAAACATATTTTAAATTTTATACAAATATTTTTAACAAAAACTAAATTCATTTTAATTTTTATGTTTGTGAAGAAATATTGAAATGGTTTTAATTTATAAGTACGTGTAGTTCAAAGGGTTTAAAACTTAAATTATTAAACTACTTATAAAATTCTTAGGATGCTATTTTGCAGATTAATATTAATTTTAAACAACAACATTTAATTGAATATTAGCTTCCTTGGAAAATACTTTATACATTAGTAAAATTTAACATATTTAAATTTGATCAAATGTATTATTAAAAGTAATGAAATATTGAAAATTGGACATAACTAAATTGTNAGAGCATACTGCGGACTTAAAATTTAGAACTGCTGTGGACTTAAATGAGGAATCTAGAACTGCTGTGGACTTAAACAAGAAGTGTGTAGCTGCCGTGTACTTAAATGAGAAGACAGGAGCATATATTTAAATGAGGAGACTGAAGTATGTTATAGATTTATTTTAAAAAAGGTCTAGTGGGATGTTCTAATGAAAAATACGTTAGATTTTATGTGAAAAACATTCTAAGTGTCTAAAATTTGAATTTGTAAATGCTTCATTTAACTGAAAATAACGATGTTTCTGCTTTGCCACCAGCTTACTCCACAAAGAAACTTAAAAAAAAATGAAATTAAGCCTCTAAAAACTGAAAAAAAATTTGATTTTTGAAGACACACTAAACTCATTTCGTATTATCGATTTTAAATTATTATTATTATTAAATGATTTAATATGATGATGATGGAATTTTTATACCAATGAGCAGACAGCCAGACATTTGCATCTCTGATTCAAATAAAACTTGGTGAGAATGTAGTCCTAAACACAAATAGTTCCTTGTCCAAATAATAGGACCCACTTCTCAAGCATTTCGAAAAATGAACCTCTGAAAATTAAGTGTGTATCTTATGAACCTAGAAGTTCTATCCATCCTAGGAATAGCAGCAGCCAAGTGGATACTAGGTTCTAGATGCTAGAACAGTAATTTTCAACCAGTGTGTTGTGAGAATTTTTGAAGATTATTAAATAAATACTGTGTAGACACCTGAAATTCTCAATGGGTCAATTGGGTCTGACATTCTGCAGATGTTTGTAAACTGTAGGATTCTTCTTGTACACTAGTCTTCTGTCCATAGCTGTCCCAATTTCCTTAAAGATGTTACTGAGGAATATACAGTAGTGGTCAAGTACAGCTCAACCACTACTGTATATTGTCCATTCTAGTATTATCACATCTATCCAAATCCAGTGTTCCAGAAATTGTCTACCTGTATTTATATGATCCTAGAATGATAACCAAGATGTTTCCCAAGCGTTTTTTAATGTAGTGGTCTCTCTTCCTGTCTGTCAACAATGTAAGGACAGTGGGTATATGCCCTTCTAATCAAGGCTTTGAAAGCAACTAATTTGTAGTGTAGTGAATCATTTGAGCCAAGGAATAAGTAGACGGTTAGATACATAACCAAATGATTGCCTTAAATAATCAGGAAATAAATCTGCTATTCTATAGCCCAATTATTTAAGGTGATTGTGATGTTTTATTCACTAATGGAAGGTTGTAAGTGGGTTTCTGAAAAACTTTTGTCCAGATTACACCATTGTTAAGTGTGATAAGAATATCTAAAAAGTAGGCCTCCCATCACTCTCCTGTTCTGAGCAGTTTTAGTCCATAATGGTTGATGCTGACATCAATTACTGTACGTCAATGGGTATAAAGATTCAAAGTCACACACTATAACATATTCATCTTTAACTAAAAATATATTACTAATAAATAACCAGCAAAATAGATGCTGTATGTCAGTTCTCGTTCCTTATGATAAACACATCATCTATGTATCTGGTGTAAATCCAGATGCATGTGCTGTATTTCAGCAAGTTAGACTTCTCCAATGATCTTAAAACCATCTCTGTGTCTAAGATAGAATTTTTTTTAATAAATTGAAATAAGATTATTTCTAATCAGAAAGTAATTCTAGAAAAGTTTTATACTTTAAATAAATATCTTTTTAGTCTATATAGCTCCAGCTGCATGTATTTCCAGTAGTGAAAAGTAAGTTGTGTTGTGCAGTTGTTTTAAGAAATGAGTCTCTCAATGGAAGAAAATATTCATGATTGAGTATTATTTCCGTACTCATATGGAAGTGGTTGTGAAGGGGGACAGAGTTTGAAAAAGGTGGCAGAACAATTCCAACAGAGACTTAATAAGACAGCACCAAGTAATACAGTTATACAATCTATTGTCATGAAATGTTGCCATTCTGGTAGCGTACTATGTCAATGGAAGGGGAAGTCTTGGTGTTCAGTTCCAGGATATGTTTGAAAATCTGCATGAATAATAACACTGTCTACAGCAAGGCAGTGCACACTTTGAACATGATGGTAAATCATTATAATAATGTATATGTTAGTTTCTTTCAGGAGAAATAAACTCACTGATGACAAGGTAATATTGTTCATCTTTTCATTTCAGTACTGTATATTTTGGCACATATTGTATTATTATTTAACTACATTAATAATTTGAAAAAAATACTTGAATTATGTCATTGAAAAGAAATAATGCATATTAAAAATATAATAATACTCTACAGCTAAAAAATAAAACTACAGTAGAGCATCGATTATCCAACTCAATTGGGGACTGGGGTTGGTCAGATAACTGAAAATACGGATAACTGAAAAATATGAAAAAATACATTATTAGTATATTAGTATATCTCATGTAATTAGTGTACCAGCAGACTCCCCTATAACGCTTAGATACGTTCCACATTAATCGAATTTTACATTGTAGGAATGATTAAATACATGAGCCAATCGCAGCCCGATAGGTGTGAAGTTTACAGACTAAGGCTGTTTGAAAGGTTTTCTTCTATAAAATTAACCGATTCTAGACTAATTCCACTCAACATTTCCAAAACACATATAATTTTTTGGGAATAATAAGTATAAACTATGCTATAAATAAAAAATTATAGGATTACTTACCGAGTGTGCACCGTTCGACTACACTGTTGCTCAAAGCTTGTTTTCGTCGCGGAACAGCACACGAAACGGCGGCCGCGATTTCTGATAACGAATTTTTCACAGAAAAATAACTTGACCTCTATAAAATTGTACATATCAAAGGCTAAGGTGAAGATCTACAAATATTCTATTCTACGTCACGACAATGATTCAACTTTCATATGGACATCTAATCTCTATTCTCTAAGTTAAATTAAGAGACAAGAGAGAGATTTCGCAGAGAGAGAGTATACAAATAGTTATCCAAAAACAAATACCTCTAAGTTCCTGATCCGTAATATGGGTCGTTGGTAAAAATGTTCCTGGATCGTCACGGCAGTTATGGCTATATTGGTCAGTAGATGTGGCAGCAGATGTTCGCCCTGGAGGTGTCCGCCTTGTGAATGTCTGCCTTGTGGATTGCATCCAAGCCCTCTTTATACTACTATACAGGTGTGCGTATAAATCATTAATGACATCATTAATGATTTATACGCACACCTGTTCGTGTGTTGATGTCTGGATCTAGCTAGTATGGACAACTGACACAGAGAAGTTTGTTTAATTTATTGATGTCAGTGTCTAGAAGATATGATTTTATAATATAAATTTCTATAAGTTTGACAGCTCTCATCCATAAATTAACATGCATCTGACAATAATTTCTTTAACCTGGTCAACTATCTAGCTATTGTTTATATAAAACGTCGCATTTGACTATGTACGAGGCGATTTACTGCTGTAACCACGTGTCATGTGCAACCGAAGAGGGGGAAGAAACATCTCTTATTCCCATCTTGTTGATATTAACATCTATAGAATTACCTTTAAACAAATGGAGGAGATTTCTTTTATTGATATACTAACGATTTTTTTCGAGGAGATTGTCTCGGTCATCGACCGCAGAAGTCCGTCTTTTTCCTTTTTTACCTAATCACGAAGTTTATTAGAAAGGTGATACTGTTCTAAAACAAAAGGGTTTTGGACTGTCACACAGCAATAAAACAATCCCTTGGTACTGGGCAGGGTTTCAGAAAATGTGACTGCAAATCTAAATGTACCACAAATAGGTGTGCTTGTCGCAAAAACCAATTGCTATGTAATTCAAAGTGTCATCAATCTTTAGATTGCACTAATAAGTAAGCACAATTTTATCATATGTTTTGCAAATTCATTTCCCTAATTGTAATAATATTTTAAACCATTTGATTTTTGTATTAGTTTTTTTAATTGATTGATGATTGATTCTATCAACTAAATTTGTTGATTGTTTGATTATATTAACTTGATTCTTTAGATATTGATAATTAAATAAATAACATTATGTTAATTTAAGCGGTNAAAAAAAAATAATTGATTGGTTAATTTTTGTTTAAGGCATTGCTAGAGTTTGATATTAATGTTACGAAAACGTATGATTAAAGGAAGTTTCATATTATATGTGTGTTAAGTTATTGTCGATTCCTATGGAAATTTCATTTTAATGAACAATAATTTGAAATAATTCAATTTTGTGTCAGGCTGGCCTCTACTAGGCCCCCATAACAAAACTCTGGCTACGCCAATGATCGTCACCGACTTCAACTCGAAGATGACTCGAGACTGAAGCTGACCAAAAAGCAACCAAATTTTACAAAGTTGTGCAAAGAAAATTGTGCACATTTGTCACATTAAAATTAAATAACCTTATGTTATTTTCACTATTATTAAAATTATATTTTAAAGATAATAAATATAAAAAAACTTATTCTATTTATGCTGTTTATTTATGTATTATTACGAAGCTGTCTATCCACAGCTTCGCTTACATTATATCGAATTTTCTCGTGGGAGTAAGATATTTTCTCATAGTAAAATGTAGCCTATGTCCATCTTCAACATGTAAGCTATTTCTGTGCCAAATTTTATTAAAACCTGTTTAGCGGGTTAGATGTGAAAAGGTAACAGACAGACAGCAGACAGAATTACCTTCGAATTTATAATAATAGTATGGATTAATATGAATTTCTGCCATAAGGGGTACGCAAGTTTGAGCTCTTTCTTGAAGTGGTACGCAGGAAAAACTAATTGGGAACCACTGTTCTAAGATATAGATTACTGTAACATATATAAGTTTAAATATAAAAAATTAAAATACTAGCAAACCCCTGAATTAAATCTAAAATTAATATAAATATAATTAATATATTTATTAAGATAATTTTATAGACCTTCAGCAATGACATCATCTACAGTTACTGTATGCCGACCAATTACAAATGTTTTATTCACAAATTTGGAAATTTCTCTGGAAGACGGTTCTACTTTTGAGAAAAGTTTCTTCATTGTACTAATTAAAATGGAAATTATCAGTAAGAATGATTCACTTGAAATTCTTCCTGAAATATACATTAAATTAATTAAAACCATAGAATTAAATAAAATTTAAAATTACACATATAAGTATTTTATCCTATTGTGACATTTTGTAAAACAGCATTACTTAATATAATTACATTATAAAAAATTTAAAAATACAGATTAATGCAATGACATTATCTATATTGTAGATATTTTTATGCCAGATGTTCTTTAAAAAACACACTGCAGGAGTGCCTAACAAAACAAGAATGTCATACAACATAACACGAAATACAAGGTGGTTATAATTAAAGTCGCCCTACTTAGACCTCATTGATGTATTTTGATGACATATATTTATGTTACTGTGAAAGTCTGAAATTAGAGAATATCGATGTTCTCCGGTAAATGTCAACACATACAAAATATGTCAATGAAAGACCGAATATTTGGTTATATTATTATACATTTGAACAATCGCCGGTGTATGTTGACAAGCACAGATAAGCTTTGGTACAGGTCAAAGAAATTGTTAATACTTTTGAAGAAAATTTGAACAGTGGCCATAACAAATACCATATTCCAAAGGAAAATATTGAAGAGGAGCTGCAACTCACCACGTCTTCATATCAAGCCCTTTCTGAACAACGTAAAGTTATTTCTATAAAAAGAGTGGCCGCAAAAGTGAATCTTCTACTGTAAGAAGTGAAAATGTTATGAACCTCAAAAAGAAAATTTCCTTCTTCTCAAATTGGTAATACCATACAAATACAAGTCCCTGATGTCAACCGTGGCCCTACAGATGCCCAAAATGTGTTGGCCATTGTTGTTGGAATAGAAGATTCCGACTTTTATAAATTAGCAAACAAAAATGGTACCCTCAAGCAGCTTTATATCTGTAATCAGTTCATAATTTGTAAAGAAAAGTTACTTTCCATAGTTGAGATTTCTTCTCAAGAAATATCGCTGAGAGAAGCAGCTGCAGCTAATTCGAAAAGTGGAAGGCAAGGCTATTCGCATTTTTTACCGGAAGCTCGCCCTCTGGTGTTTAAAAACAAAACTATTCTATCTGGGTCATTTGATTCAATCTTGTGTATTATCAGCAGTAAAGTTGAAAAGCAATAGAAAAAGCAATGCTTACTCTTGGTTCCAAATTGCAATTTCAAAGCCTTACAAGAACCTGATACAAGTTTTCGTCTATTCCCACACAAAAAATGGGAAAAACAGATGATTATTTGGAAATTAATCGGTTATATTTATGAGCTCTGAATTTTGAAAGAGTGGATTAGACTTAAGAATTGGCAGTTTCCTGATTGTGTAGCTTTACACGAACAGCTTTATGCTGTCAATTTTAAAACATTTTGTTAAAGTTTAAAATGCCAGTAATTTTGTGTAGGACACAGGGCCGAATTTAAGCATTTCGAAGCCCTAAGCTGAACTCTGTAAGGCCCCTTACCAACCCTTCACAATTTTAGAAGTCAATCATAAAAAGAAAAGAATTAAATCACACTATGACTCTGATTTAATACAGATATTGGAAGAAAAAGACATGAGATTTCATTAGTCTTATGTTTTATAACTAAGTTTAATTAAATTTTTATACCCATTCCATTAAAAATCTTTTTTTAAATTGGTTTTATCAATTTTTTAAAAAAAGATCTTATGTTAACTCTTAGGAAAAAAATTAATGAAATACTACACAAAATAAACAGTGAAGTATATTTTGTTGGTTTGTAAAAAAATGCTTATTACAAAATCTGACTTCAATTTTCTTTTTTTAAAAATGTTTGAGGTCCCTTGAAAGTTGAGGCTTTTTACTTGTAAATCCGGCCCTGATGGAACAATGTCAAAGCTGATGTTTTTTAACACAAAGGGCACAAATATGTATAGAACAATCTCACTCATTTGTTTTGATACCACATAATGATGTGTCCCGCTAACAATAATTGTTCTCCTTCTATAAAATTTCTTGATAAACAGCTACAGGCAGCATATATCATTATATCGGACAGTAATATATGATTAATTTTACATTACTAGTTAGAAGCGACCCAGATAAAGTAGCCATTTTGTAAAAATTCAGCGCCCTCTATAGTTCATGAAAAACGCAAATACATGCTGTCATTGCAAAAAGAAATGTTCCACAAATAAATGCAGTTGTAAAAGAAAAAGGCTCTTGAGCAATTCAACGTACCATAACAGTTTAATAATGCAATAAATAAGATTGTACAATGTTAATCACATAATTTATGTGTAAGTTTATTATTGTATTATTTTCTTTAATGATTTAGAATGTACTGTTCATTTTAGGTTCAACAGTTTATTTACATGTGCTGTTACTTAAGCTTTCTCCTATTTTGACATATTAAAAAGTTGCATTTTTGTCTTAACGTGATAAAAATATTTTTATTCAACATTCACCATCAGTGCATGATGAATGTGGACATCTGCTGGTGTAAGTGAGAAATAATGATATTTAGCAAATATTTCATATATACACAAAACGACTGTGTGAATGCTGACATTCACCAGAAAATGTTGACATTTGCCAGATATCGGTCATTCACAGTAACATATACGTTATATGGGCCATGGGGAAAAGGAAAATGCAAAAAAAATATTTAGTTTAAATTTCTACCATCAGGTGAAAAAAATGGCACATGAACAAGAAACAAAAATGGAAACATGCAAAAAGTTCTTATTCACAATGTTTGTTCAATGTGAATCAACGTGTTCAAAACACCTTACAGCTTGTTCAACAGTAGCCCGATAGATTTGTCAAGGAATTGCACAACATGGCATGTTATGCTTGTTTTCAATTCAGGCAGAGTCCATATGTTTCCTCTATAGATACAATCTTTCAGATATCCCAACAACCAAAAGTCACAGGGATTCAAGTCTGGAGAATGAGGAGGCCAGGCATTCTGAAAACTCAAAATTACCCAATTGTCTCCAAATTTGTCATGCAGCAGTTCATTCACATGTCAGGTAATATGTGGTGTTGCCCCATCTTGCATTAAGACAGTAGTCTCTAAACATCCTCATTCTTGTAAAGCAGGAATGACACGATGCAGCAAAAGTTTGCAGTAACTGGCACCCATCACAGAACACCTTTTAAGGCCTTGTGGTGTAATTCAAAGAAAAAAGAGCCAAGAATGAAGTCAGAAGTGAAACCACATCAAAGGGTCATGTAAGCAGAGTGCAGAGGCTGTTCATGCACATCAGGTCGTGCAGTATGTGACAGTTCTGAGTATTCACTGCTCTGTCTAGGATGAAATACACCTCGTCTAACCACAAAATGTTCCATGGCCATGCATTGTCAATGGTTATTCTGGCCAAAAACCAGTAAGCAAACTCTGTGTGTTGTTCTGGATCTTGAGAGTGCAGCTTTTGTGACATGTGGATCTTGTATGGATACTACTATACTGGATTGTACTATACTGGATTGCATAATTTTTTGAACTGTAGGCCAAGGAAGACACAAATCATATGACACCACTCAAGTACCCATCGAAGAATGTTGGGAAGCATTTGCTCAATCACAGCAATGGAGACTTGCTCCACAGTTTCATTTGAAATCCTTTTCCGACCTCTTCCTGGCAATACATCCAACTCTCCAGTCTCTTCAAATCTGCTAATCTTCCTCAAACCATACCCCGACATAGGCCATTTTCACAAGCCTTTCAAGTGTCGATATTATTGCAGTGCAGCCGAACCATTACTGACATTCTGATAAAACAACTTTACCAGTAAAGCTCGATCTTTCTTCTGTACAGGCATGATAAAGAATGGCATCGACTACTGGCTTTTTAAAAGGTTCCTAATTTGCATAATGTGAGATGCACAATTTTTTCACCTAGTGGTAGAAATTTGAACTAAATATCTTTTTGCATTTACCTTTTTCCCAATGGTCCATAAAACATATATACCAAATTTCATCGAAATATGTCAATGAGAACAAGCTCTATATAGGTCTGAGTAGAGCAACTTTAATTATAACCACCCTGTATATGAATCTTTTTTTGTTATATGGAAAAGTTTTGACCATTGTGCATTAATTAACATCTTAAAGAATCTGTCTTTTCTTTTAGGAACTGTCTCTCTTCTCAACAACATAGTATGTGAAGTACATTGTCAGTAGATGTGAGGTTTTGTGATGTACAGTATTCTATATTACTGTATGGTCCAGATAGCGTGTAGAAAGTTAATGTAAAATATACTGTAGAAACAGCAACGTGTATACCAAAAAATTAGTGATTGAGCAACACTTTCCAGGTTGTTTTATAAACATTTTATTTGTTCAAAACTACTTCACTGAAGTGTGGTAGCCCCCTATGATTGCTATTAATATAATTTGATTACATTTTTTGTTGAAATGAAGAAAAAACTCTTCTAAATGAGGAAGTTATTTACAAAGATATTTATTTCACTAACAAGGAGTATTATACACCTATGTCCCCAATCGATTTAAATGAATTTTCGCAAAAAGGTATGATAATGTATTCATCCAAACCATTTCATTCTATGAGCCATAATGAGGAAATTATGACTAATTGAATGTGGAACTACTTCTCATATCAAACAATACAATTCAGTCACAAGAGCACTAATCAGTTTGAGAAGAGAGGAGTAGCTATGAGAAAGTTGATGGTATTTTGTTATCCATACCGTGATATTGTATCAATCATTAAAATACTAACAATTGTTATCTAGAGCAAGAGTAGTTTAATATCAACTGAGATTAAAGTTTTAAGTATAACAAATAATTTTTACATTATTTACATTATACTAATAATTATATCAATATCCTTAAAATCACATCAATATTTTAATGAAATGATATAATGTCTAACCAGTAAATCAAAGAAGTCATTTCATGCAATAAGGTTATTTTATTTATTATCTCAATCAGGACAGTAGCATCTAGTATATTCTCAATAGTAATTACTTTTGGTGATTACATTAATATTAATATAATTTACTCGAGAAAGAGAGAAGCAGTACAGAAATAATAATGGCTTTCAATCCATAAATGGTA